ATAAATCTGAACAAATTATAGTATTTGGAACATTTTTAGCTTATAAACTAAAATTTTAATTTTTTTGGAGTTTCCTCTCTTTCTATTGCAAAGGCCCCATATATTAAAACAGGTTGAATAAATTGGTAATTTCATATTAGCAAGACGTGTTACAAATATTGGAAAGCATATATTAGTTGAATTTAATGAAAAAGTACTAAACCTTTACAATTCAGAAAAAGTGCCAATATTAGAAAGTATACATTACTCTGTTAAAAAATATACCTTTAATATTAATTATGAGGATGAAGATAAAGCTAAAAAGAAATGAAAAAATGAATTAATAGTTAGAGCATTAGATGAAGAAAATATTTCAAGAGATTCCTGTATGCTATAGAGCCTTACCTACCTCGTGAAGAAGTAATATCTAAAGAACGCTAAAAAAATAAATAAAAAAATAGCTCAGCATATACCAATATCAATAGTAGATATAAATACAAAAAATCAAGTAGATCAGTCTGAAGAAGAGGATATAAATAATGAATCTATGATACAAGAAGTAGTTGATGCAGTTGGTAAAGGTGGTTATAGAAATATTAAAAATATTTTGTTATATTTAGTTCTTGATCTTATTAAAAAAGAAATTCTAAATCTATGTCAACTAGTATTCTGCACAGATTTAAATTGATCCAAATTCAATTTGTCAGATTCAGATTGGATTCAGATTGGATCTGTCAAATTCAGATCAGATTTAGATTTGAATTTATATCAGATCTGATCTGTCAAATTCAGATTTAGATTTAGATCTGATCTGTTAAATTTAGATTCAGATTCAGATCTGATCTGTCAGATTCAGATTTGAATTCAGATCCTAAATTGATTATCAAATGTTAATTAATAATTTTTTTTTCCCTTTGTAAAACTTCTTTCTTCAAAACTGAACTGAAGAAAGCAAGCTTTACCAACTTCAGCTGTAGGTAAGAATTTTTTTTAATATTTTTTTTTTAATATATATTTTTTTAATGTTTTAATTTATTTAGATTTCATGTTTAATTAATTGAGTGAGTAGTGAGGTGTGAGTAGTAGAGGGTAGTAAGTGGAGGGCAGTAGAGAGTAGTGGGTAGTAAGGGTGGTGGAGGCAATGGAGAGCATGAGTAATAAGGACAGTAAAGGATAATGGAGGATAATGAAAGGAAGTAGAATATAATAGAGTAGTAAGCAAAATGAAAGGGAGAATTGTTGTGTATAAATTGAGGATTATTTATTAATATTTACATTTATATTTCAGGATCGGTTGGAATTGTGAGTATTATTTATTTATTACTTTTTATATATAATCTAAAGCCTTCTCTAAGACTTCACATACCAAGCGATCAATTTTAGTTTTTAGAAATCTTTTTTACTTAAGTTCCTAATTGAGTTTAGCTGGTTTCGTTAAGAGTTCGTTTGACTATTAGTGACTGTATCGGTAAGTTTTTTAATTTAATTTTTTATTTATTTATTTATTTATTTTTTTAATTTATTTCTATCAAATTTTTTTTAATATTAATTAGTGGTTTTGTAATAAAAGGTTAGTTAGGATTAATTTTTTTATTTAAATTTAATTAATTTCATTTTTAAATTTTTTTTTTTGTATTTGTTTATTTGTTTATTTTTTAAGTTATATTATTTTAGGATTTGTAATAACAATTTTCTTAACGAAGTGGTAAGTGTGTTATTTTTTTTTTTATTTTTTTATTTATTTATTTTTCTTTATATTTATTATTAATTGTTTTTATAGAAATATTTGGGCAATTTTGCAATAAAAGATCAAGTTTAATTTATTAATTTTTTTATTATTTATTTAAATTTAAATTTAATATTTAATTTTTTTTTTTTTGGTAGATTATTACTTATGCTTATGGCTGCTATGTATGTTAAATTAATATAATTTAATTTTTATTTTATTAATTTAATTAATTAATTTGTAATTTGCAAGAAATGAAAGATCGATAACACGTTTGTATAATGATCAGTGAGGATAATAGTAATAATAAAATTTGTTAATACCAAAAATCTCTAACCGTTCTCAATATAAATATGAATAAACAACTTAAACTTGACGTAAAACTAGTTTCTATTAGCCAAATAGTGCCCTATTTGTATTATAGCGTGAACTCAAAGAATAGTGAATTATAAGAGGTAACAGCAAACTAGAAGAAAGCATATTTTTTTATCCTATTCATGTAGGTTAGGTAACTGTTATAGAACAAAATAATAAATACTTTTATATGCATATAACAGAGAGAAATGAAAATAGTGAGATACTGTCAGAATATAGGTGCCAGTCTGGCAGTAAATTTAGTGATGTTGAAACAGCGTCAAGTTATGCTATAACGAGTTTATACTAGCGAATTTTTTCTAATTCAAAGACAAAATTTTCTGGACCACTAGTTTTAAGTTAAGATAATAATGAATTATTGGAAGCTTCACTAGAAAATATTCCTTTTCAGGCATTTGCTGTTAAAGTTGACGATATTTTGATATATATTATAAATATTAGTATTTGTGAACAAAAAAAACAATGAAAAATTATATTGCATCATTTATTGGTGAATACAAGAAAAAATAAGCTTTATATATTCAAAAAATTTAACCTGACAATTGTGAAATTTTAATACATCAAAGGGATCATGAAAAAATATTTTTTTTCAGTTCTACTTCAACAGAAGTATGGCAAAATGTAGGATATAAAAAATATCATAAAACATAATTGTTTGGCTTAGAGTATCTAATGACATGAAATACTATCAATGAACAATGAATTCCTACATGTTTACTTATGTTTTAGGATAATGAAGTGCTTTTGAATAATATTTTTAATTATAATTTGAGAAAATAAACACTTAATAATATTAACGGTTACAATTATTTCAAATTTGACTTGCACAGAAAAGTATAATTATTGAATTACGTGAAATTCTAAAGAAAATATATCCACCAAATTATTTGCATAATGAACGTGAATTTCGAGCATAGCGTGCAATGTTAAGGGTTGCTAGATGTACAGAAATTACTCCATTTCTTAAGGATCAATTGGAGGTAATGAATGTAATGTATTTTTGTTAATAATAATTGATTATCTCTATGGCCAAATTAAACCAACCATTTTATCAAATTTAGTATGAATTTTGGTCACAAAGCTCAAATCCATTGATGGATCAAAATACCTTAGAAATTCTATATCATAGCGGATTTCTAAATGCTATTCCAACAAATGTATTTAATTTAAGTAATCAATTCTGGAAATGTTTTCAAAAATTATTAGAAGAGAGCAAAATAGGCTATAATGGAAAGATACAAATTTTGTCAATTATTGCAAATGATTTTGAATACGAAGAACTTCAAAAAAATCTCAAGGTGAATGATGTTATTATTTATGCTAATGCTTACTATCAAGTTCTTACGCATCTTACGTTTTTGTTAATTTATATTTACAATTATGGTTTATATTATAAACAGGTTTCTTTCAAAACAGTAGCAAAAGCTAGATATCATTACAAGGTTAATGGTCTAAGATATGCAGTAATAGATAAACCTATTATTATATGAGTCTAAACTACTGATGAAATGGAGAAACAATTTCAGAATTTTTTTACTGATAAAAATATTGTAAATTTGAGTTCTTACAAGGTGGATATGAAAACTGGTGAACCACTCAAATATCTAAAAGATCAAAAAGAAACATTGTGACAAAAATTCTTTGAGATATATCCCACAGGCATAAAATGGATAACATTTTTAACGCATTTGAAAGATGGACCTTATGTGTATAGGGAAGATCTAGGAGGTTTATATAGTATCTGTTCTGATTACGAATATGATGTATTTGATGATCTAAGGAATTTGATAACAGAAAAAATCAGTGAAAAAATGCAACAAGTAAATATATATTTTTTTAATAATATTTTAGTGGAGTTTAGTATGAAAATTGTCAAAAAAAGAAATTATTAGTTATGTAATATTATAATATGTTTTTATAAAGTTTTTAATAAATAGAAAATACGTTCATCAAAATTACAAAAATTACTAATTATCTAATTATTTTATATATTATTTATTTATAATTATAATTATATTGCTATAATTAATAAAAATAATAAAAACAAATATTCAATAATTACAAATATTTAAAAATATATTATTAGAATCAATTAATTACAAAGCTTGAATCTGTTTATTAGCATTTAAAGCGTAAATATAAAAAAGAACTTCAAATAGATTGCCTATAACAATTTTATCAAGTTAAATGTCTTGAGCATTATCTTTCATATGCTTTTGGAGAATGTGTTAGGGAAGAGCCAGAAATTATGTCATTTAATAGAAGGGGAAGGGGGGTGCCATTTGATGACAGTTATACGAATCCTTTTTAGACAAATTAGAGGGTATTAGTTGATGATGATTACACGAATCCTTTTTAAATAAAGACATTAGCCAATCATGCTATATAAGACTATGCATACTGCACGTACTGTGCAAAGTGGCAAAGTGTTACATTAGCATTAGTGACGGTATTACAATGGCGATAATACAGATTTTTTTTTTAAGTATTCCAAAAAAGTGTTTCAAAAAATTCTCACACTCTTTACCTTCGCATTTGAAAATGTAAAGAATTATTTGGTGTTGAAAGTTGTTATAATGAAACAAACTTATTTCTGTGAACAAAAATATCTTAAGAACTACCTTATTTCAAATCCTTGAAATACTTATGAACAATATGTGAATGCCTATGCATTCTCTAAAATAGTAAAAAGTCACAATGTTACACTAAATAAAAAAGAACTTTAACTTCAAGCACAAAATAGTTGGTGAGAAGTTAAAAAAAAGGATAAAGATCATATTTCCAATCTTATTTCAAATCTACTAAAAACACCTATTCAACCTTCTTCTTTCACTTTCGTTTTACTACCTTCACAATAAAAATCTACAACTAAACCTTCAATACCTTTATAACCTTCACCAACATTTTCAGATATTCTTCCTAAATCTTCTCAATCTTTACTTTATGCATCAACACAAAATCAATCATTTGATATCATTCAAAAAGCCAAAACTGAAGTGTATGAATATACCAAGTTGTTGCAAGTAGCAACATCATCAAAAGTCCATTCCCAATTTTCTTCAAAAATCAAAATATTAGAAGAAACTATAACTATTGAGGAGAAAAGACTTAAATGTTTAAAAAGTAATGCAGCTGCTCAAAAACAATCTCGAGAAAAGAAAAAGGAGAAGTTAAAAAAAGAGAATATTGTAGAAGTTTATAATACACCAGGTCATCTATCATATTTAATGAATGATTCTAATCTTTTGGAAAAGATGTATAGCTGCATTGAATTTGGTGCAGCAGATCACAAACGATGTAAGGAGGTAATTAAGGTCTGAACAATCAAGTATCTCTAAGAAACAATAGAAGACAACTACAATGTATATATGTTAAAATCAACAGTACAAATTATATATAACTGTATCATCCAGCATCAAAGGAAGCACATTGATACCATCACCTTGCACAAATACGTTTAGTGACTGTTGGAAGAAATGAAATGCGTAACCATGTTGATGAACACTATTGCCTAGCTTCAGTCAAAGATGTAAAATTATTTGCATCTACTTTTTCACAAGATGTTATTTTAATTTCGTAAGACAATAAGGCTAAGATAATTTTTACTATCTATATGGATAGAATTTGTTTGAATAATTAATTATTAGATAGTTTACTTAGTTATTTAAATCTTGTATTATATTTTTTATTTAGTTTTGTATAGTGTAATAAAAGTTTTTAGAATTATATATTTAAAATTATTATTAGGTTCCATTAGGTATCGCTGCTGTTGGTAAAATATTTAAAACAATACAGACATCAAATGAACCTATATCAATTCCCGACCATAACTTCCCAGTAGGCTCTAAACATAAATTAATACCATCTGTATACTTGCTAATTGATCCCAGTAGCACAAATGATTCTTTATGGTCCAGAAAGTTGCGAATTTTCATTCGTCCTGAATATTTTTTGGGCACATCATATGAAACACACATGATCGATCTTATGATAATTGTAGAAGAGGAGGCTTACCATGAATTTACACATTATGAAGATTTTGTGAAACCTATCTGGTGTTTATTAACGGATGGTAAGCCTGATGAAAACCTCAGTTTCTTGCTAATATTTTAAAATATATGCTTATTTTTAAAAAGCTTAAATTGAATTATCTTACAGTATGAACACATGCACTGGGACAGTCGGCGTATAATCCAGTGAAGAGAAGCATGTTATCATTATCTGGTAAACTAGCAGGTATTGTGTTAAATGCTTTTAATTATGGGAATCATCTTGGTAATGTAAATGGACAAGTTTCGATAGTTGATAAAGAACTTAGATATAGAAACTTTAACATACTGGAGAGCATCTTTGTGAACTTTAAAATCGTGATCTTATTAACAAGAGACCAGTTGTTGCAACATATATTGAAAAACATAATGATATTATGTTTTCTGATATAGAAGAAGGAACATGAGATTGGATCGATCGTCACTCACAAATTTGCAAATATTCTTTTGATTTGCGAAAATGTGATGACCGAAACTGCTGTGAACTATCATGAGTCACAAATGCTTTTGAACTTTTATCACCAAACAATGGATTTCTTCCTCTTATTATATAAAGGCAAGATAAACATTTTCTTAATCTAATACATACATTAGAATTTTTTAATGATCAGCTTCCTAGCTATGATGAACATTGTTCAAGTATTCCATCTGAATTATATCATAAACTTGTATGCCGAAAATGTGGAAAATACTTTCCAACAAAAGCATTTATAAAGATGCATATTAAGAATATGCATCCATGTAAAAGAAGAAAAATGCAAAAGATTGATAATAATATACAATCTGATACAAAAAATGAGTTGGCAGATCATATAGAAGAATCCAGATGTCTGAACCAATCTGTTAACCATAAGGACAATAAAATTACAGCAATACAAATGCATAAACAACAAAGAGATAAAGATAAAGTAAAAAATTAATTTCAATATAATATATAATATAATAATTATGTAAATAAAATTAACTAATACATTATATAAACTATATAAACTTTATACTTTGATTAATGATTTTGATTGATTAATAGTTTTATTTAAGTAAACTGTGCAATTTTTTATCAAATAATAAATAGTAACTATCACGTGATAATTGATTTCCTTAAATAGAATTGATAACAGGAGGGGGGAAGGGGGAGAAAATCCTAAAATTAAAATGACGTCATTTCTGATCCTCCCCTTAAGTCTTACTCTTCTAATTGTGATCAATATAACAAAGTATCAGAATTTTTTTGTCAATTATCTTATATCATACCAGATAATTTTGAGCAAATCATGGAAAATTGAAAAAAACTTCAATATTACTAGTCTCATCAAGTACGCAAGACATACCTCAACGCTCAATTTAATGCAAATTTGCTTTCTCTTGATGAAGAAGGTGCTATAATTATAGTAGATTATAAAATGAAGATTTTGCTAAAATTAGCACGAGAGGTAAAATCAGATTTCTATAGAAAATTTGGATAGACATTACATATAATGTTAGTATATACAAAAGCTAATAATCACGAATTAGAAATAAAAGCCTTTGATCATTGGTCTTCAGATACAGTTCAAGATGCGTTGTTCATAGCTTCGTGTTTTGAAGTTGTCTTTAACTCATTTGAAAAAAAACCAAAATGGGTAAGAATCCTATCTGATAATGGTGTTCACTACCATTGTGCTAAATTAATGGCTATGATTACAAACTAAAAATCCTGATATGATGTGGAAATCTGAAGTTAGATTTTTTTAGAGATAGGAGAGGCCAAAACAACGATCAATTCACATTATGCTTAGGTTATTTAGTATGATAGTTGTATTGTAAATTATAACTGTGACTTATAAACTTCTATTGTGGCTTATTTCTAGATTTCTCATGTAATCAAATAGTATGTTAGGCTAAGATATGATATATCTGAAGGTCAAAACATAGAAAAAGTGATCAAAAGTATTAGGGGAGCAACAGTTGCAAATATTGAACCAGATCGAAAGAAAAAAAGAAAAAATCTGTGATGACTGGTATTTCAAATTAGTTCAAATTTCAGTGGCCTGTTGAAGGAGAATTCAGTAGTTTTGTACATGGTAGAGCACTTTCTAACTTTGGAATATAGAACTATTTCTCTCCCTCTGCTATTTGTAAATCAATAAAAGGTGATGAGCAATTTTGACCAAATCTCTCAATTTCTACGCCTACAAATCTAAATTCAAATTCCAAATGGATAATTCTAATATCATCAACAAATTGGAACAATAACTCCCAAAATGAAATAGCTGAAATAAACAGGTTGACAAAGGATAATATCAAAGAAGAGTTAGAAAGAAGATCCCTATTTTATGATAAAAAAGAAAATCAGCAAGAGTTAATTGCAATTTTAAGAGAAAATATTGCATGTGAGATAATAAATAAAATAGCAGATAATAAATTATTTTTTTTTTTGCAAATTAACTTGCAATAAAATTCAACTAATCACTTTTATTATATAGAGGCAAGAAAGGCAATTGATACAATGGAAAATAAGGAAAATAATAACATTATAGAGTTAAGAACAAAGAAAAGAAAGGTGAAAAAAAGAAAAAGGGAAAAGAAAATGAGTGAGTATGATTACTTCAAAAAAATAGAAAAATATCGTTATAACTTGCAATAATAATATCAGATATATGTTATTTCTCTAGAAACAACTATTTTCAAGTCGGTTGGGCTTTAAAAGAAAACTAGGAATATGGAAAAAAAGGTGGCGGAAAACACATACCTGAAAGAATAATGGAATTATTAAAAGGTTTTTTTCATGCTGGTGATGCCTATAAAAGTGAACGATATTCTGCAAAAGAAATGCTTGAAACACTACAAAAAATGTAAAAACAGGTGAGCTAGAGAAGAGTGATATACTGAAGTTGAAAACAATTGAAAACTGGATTAGCCAGTATTCCCGCTAACATAAGCAAGCAATGGCCAAAGCTATAGCTAAATAATAATAAAAACTGCACATAATATCTATATTTGACATCTAAATAGGCTTAAACCATTTTTTTTTCGCTTTTTTTTCACTTTTGAATTTTTGTAATTTACGTTTAAACCCATAATCCTGAGCCGTCAAGGCGTTTGCGCGAAATCTATCAAATAAAGTATAAATTTTTTTTAATGAAATAAATAGCTTAGGTTTTAAGTGACGTTTTTTATTATATATATTTGATACGTTTTATCATTAATTCAGGAGTTTGTATTACATGACATTTTTCTAATTACGGTTTTTTTATAATTAATTATATAAATTACCCTGATCGACATTATGCATATTCTTTCCGTTTCTGGCAAATTGCGAATTAAGTGAAAGAAAAATGCATTTTTTTAAAAAATCTATTTCAATGCTTAATTTTTTGTATTATAACTAAAAATAAATAAAATGATATTTTTTGAATTATTTTTATATTATTTTACATTTAATAATTTACTTAAAATTTAAAATTTAATATAATTTTTATTAGAATAATTAATTAATAATTAATAAAGTTAATAATTAATAAAGCATTAATAATATATATTATCTAATTTACAAAATTAAAGTTATTATAATAGTTGTAGTTTTGTAAAATTAAGTAATTTTTGTAAATTATTTATATATATTATATATTTTTTATTTTTTATAAAATCATTATATAGTATCATTTATATGATATTAATATCATTCATTTGTTTTATTAACAATATATATAATAAAATTTCAGGTTTCTAAAGATTAATAATTTATTTAATAATCAATAGAATTATTAATTTAAATTAATAAAAGACAAATAATTATCATATTGGTATAATTAATTATGATATTATCAAGTTATAACTAGTTGCAATAAGTGATAAATAATAAATACTATAAACTATTTTGATAAAATTTTTATCCTATTTATATAAAATTTTTAATCTACTTCTATTACTTATTAAAGATAAAGTAAATTTAAGAAACAATAGAAATATTATAAACTTCATTATACATTTAATTTAATAAACCTATTTAATTATTTTAACTTATATTACTTTATTATTAAAAATATTAGTATTTTTATTATTTGAAGTTTCATCTATGTATTTTTGTCATTAGATTGTGATTAAGAAATTACAGCTTCTTTTTAATAATGATTTGTAAAATCATCTATTAATTCATTTTTCTGTAATATCTTAGTGATTATTAATTCAATAAGATTTCATTTTTATTTGTTAAAAAGCTCTCAATAAGACAATTCCAATGATAAATATTATTTTCATCAAATTCTAGTCATTAGTAATTTTTATTTTTTTTAAAAATATTATTGCTTCTTTTAGTTTTTAAAATTTAATATAATTTTTTATTCAACCTAATAACAAAAATTACAAAAATTAGAGTTTTGAATAGGTCAGATTAAATTGAATCAATTACCTTACCTACAGAATAACTCTCACTGAATTTCAACAAGGTATGGAAATAAGTCTCGATTTTTGTAATATATATAGTACTTTATAACAAGCATGCATGTAATCTGAAGAAGGATCTTTACTTATCGCAAAATTAATGAACGCCACTCAATTAACACTTTAATTACGTGCGATTTAGCTATTTTTTTTTTTTTTGTGAAAAGGCGAATGAATAATCGAAAAAGCGAACAATCAATATTCATTTTGACTGGAATTATATATAGGAGATTGATTATTAATAAATTTCGTTATATTTCGAAATGATTAATGTTTTTGAACTTTAATAGGATAGTTCACCTATGGTAAAAATTGGTAATTTTTCGTGTAAAGGTTGTTTTCTTACATGATCGTAAAAATTTCAACCGTCTTTACCATGTAATGAGTGAAAAGCCAAACCCTTATCCTTGTCTGATGTTATCTGCATCTATGCAATTATTCGCTTATTGCCACAAGATTTGCGATTAGTGTGGTTTGTCGGGTTTAATACCACCTTTTCGAAAACTTTCGACATTAGGAGTAACATGAAATTAACAAAAAAGCGGAGGACAAAGCACGAGCTTAAAGGGCGATAAGGGAGATTGATCTACCATTTTAAAATTAAAAATAAAAAAGACAAATAATTGCCTTTAGGATGAACATAAATTATACAGTATATATGATTTTAAGATGTATTGATATGAAATATTAATTTCTTCCGATCATGCATTGTCACTTAGATTTTTTTAAACATTGTTTTGTTATTTTTTAAATGTCCTTTGCTATGAAAGAATTCCAAAATGTCCCAAAGAATGTCTATTCAAACATACCAGTCGCCAACTAAGCAATTTCACACTTTAAATAAATCACTTATTTCTTCCTTATTTCCTTCCAAGCTCTTTCGATTTCCACATTAATAGCCCAAACCCACTCCTCTCTTTCAATCCTACTTCTAGCTCTAAAAACCCAAATATTTCCAGGACGATCCAATGTTGTTGTCTTTTTTAAACATATGCTATTTCTACTTTTCTCTTTATCCCTTTCAAGACAATATTTTTGCTCTCCTTGCCATATAACAAAGGTACACTCTTCATCGTCATCAAAACAATACATGCCATCTGGATATATTCTTGGCAATTTATGTGTTCCGTTATCTGATATATTATATCTGCTTGAACTTGAATATAGTAAATCATTTTCCGTGATACCTCCGGAATACACATAACAATCCGTTAAATGAATGCATCCGCGACGTTTATGAAAAATTTGTCGCTTTGCCGTACCACTCAATGAATTTCGTGTATATAAGTTATAGTATAATAAATGTCCTCTTATAAGAATATGGTGATAATTTTGGAATGTGCCGCGGAGGTGTGTTTTATGATATAATAAACCTCCTTTCTAATAAAAAATGAATCAAAATATAGGTAAGTTTGTTTAAGAGAAAATTGAACATTATCAAAGAAAGTAATTTCTATCTTACAGTAATTCCACGACATCCATTCAAAATACACCAATGCCAAATGACTGTATTTACATAGGAGTGAAAATTATTCCAATGACTGTGTATCCCATCTTGACTGGCATTATCATCATCTTCCTGATGATAATCCACATTCACTTTAAACATATTAATTCGTGTATGAACATCCGATATTAGTCGAGCCTTCCAATATTTTATAAGTTCATCCAATCGTTTAATCCATTCATCCAATGTTTGTCTAGAATACGCCTATAATTAACAATATAAATAATTCATCATTCCGAACCTTATTTATTTTATCTTTATTTCGCAACAAAGCTTACCTGTAAGGTGATGATCGTGCCATTATTTAAAACTAAATCAAAATAACGCTCGTGATTCTCGACTTCAATGATCCCCAAATGGCCCTTGTCGGCAAATTTCACCTCCACCACATCAGCCAAATTTATGAATCCAATGGCATTCTTAATTTGTTTTACACGTCTTTTTGCGTCTGCTTTCATAAAATTATCGATATGACCACCACATTGTCCTTGTGTTAGTGGTGCAACTGAATATATCAATGGTTGTGCGGTTTGCTGACGCTCTTCATCCGAATTTGATGTTGGAACTGACGGCGGCGGAGGCGGAGGCGGACTTGCTGCGAATGGCTTTAAAAAAAAGAGGTAATGATCATGAGAAGTAAAATACAATCGTTTAGGTCTCCTATTGCCTTTGTTGTTTGTAACCCGAATAAGATATCCCTCGACCGGAGGAGGTTCCTATTATTAAACATATTATAAGTTGTTCATACGTCTTCAACCAATATATAAAAAAAAAAGATAAATTTACAAACATTTAATATTGTTCCATCTTTCAAATGGACAGAAGTCGGATAATGTTCAGTCGGACGTAATTGAAGTTGATGTGTCTAACAAATAAATATATTAAAAAAAAAAAAAAAAGAAACGAAAAAGAAAAAAAGAAATAAATTTCTTAAATAATTACCGCTTCAATAAATTGTGGACAAGCCAGTAAATCATTTCGAACTTTGCCTTCTTCATTTTTTTCCCAAACAATCCACTCCAATCGATCATATCTCTTCCAACATAATCTCAAGTCACAAGACTTTAGCCACTCAAATAATACATCTTCCCATTCCGACTCCCCACTCAATTCATCCAAGACCAATTTAGTAATATCCTCTGCTGTGATATTATAAGCCTGATCACGTTCCTCTAACGGAATTCTCACGTGAACATCAAAATCTGGTACATACACTTCACATAAGGAAGGCATTGTATTGACTGATTGCTCACCAAGTGTAGCATATAGTATACGATACCATTCGACACTCTGCTCTATAGTCTTTGGATTGATCACAAAGACTTTCAATTTCATCCCGCTTCCAGATCGTTGTCTGAGTGATATGGTATAATCAACCGCTGAAAGAAGTCCCAATCGGGTTGTTTCGGTGAATCGCATTTTAGATACTCGAACTTTCTAAACAAATAAAATAAACTAAAATGATATATACACATATGCATTTAAAAATCGAATAATGATCATAATAATATTAATATTGTTAAAGAAATATATACATTGTTTTTGTACAGTTCTATCCTTCCAGGACGTAATTTAACGATGTATTCTCTCCAACCCACTGATTGAGTTTGTTGTTTCCTACTGAGATGACCCTTTAAAGAATATCTCTTGTAAAGCGTTGGTGTTCCCCGGTTATAAATGCGCTCCGTCCTAACCAACATACGATCTACTTTTATGATCGTATCAGGATGTAGTTGCGTTGAATTAGATACTGAACTAACGTGATCTGCATCTTCAACTGGATGATTATCCCCTTGATCTTGATCGTTTACATGAATGTTTTCTACGATTTGATTATATTCAGAAACATTTTTTGGATGATGAGGATTTTTTGATGATGATATCGTCGATGATGGAAAATATTCACGTGACTTGCTTTCTTCTTCGGTTATACGTTTCATTAATTTAAAGTTAAGTTGCTCATCAAATAAATTTTCGTGAATAGATCTCTCAGGCATTGAAATTCTCTGCGAAAAGAATCTCCGACCGTGATGTGGTGGGGTAACGGGGAATGAACGGGGTTCTTCATTGGGTGTATAAAAGATGTCATCATCAGAAAAAGGACTAACTTCGTTATCAATCAATTCTTCGGGTTCAGAAACTAAGTAAGGTATATCTGTTAAACGAGTTAATTGAGCTGGAGAATGACTAAAAATATATATATATATATTTATATATATTTTTTGACTTAATTTCTCATGAAAGTTTAAACAAAGAAACAAAATACAATTTGATTTATAGATGAATTTACTTGTCTTCACGTATTTCACAAAAATCCAGTGAAGCGATATTGGTGGGACCTCTAAATTCAGGTTCAGATCGAAAAGTTCTCTGCCTGTTAGGACCATTCTGATGAGTAGCTTGATCACTTTTTGAAAACCAAAGCGAATTTTTTTTGTAGGACCAATTTGAAGGAGTCGGTCCTATGAAAATTCTTCGAGTTGTAGAGTGAAGGTGTTTTGACAATGGAGTGGAAAGTAAAGAATCGTTCATTGATAAAGAATGCTGTGGAATCCATTGAATAAACGAATTACGGTTTTTCGAACCGGTACTAACATAACCGGAATCTGCTGGCATTTTCAAAAAAAAAAAAAAAACAAATTTAAAAAAATAATAAATATTTGGGTATATATATAAATAAAAGATTGGAAGCACGTTTTAGATAAGGGTTGATAACATGTGTAAAAAGTGATTGTGCTTCCTAACTTGAATTAAAATATAATTGGTGTGTTCATTACATCAAAACTTGTCAACTCTTTTGGTTATGATGACGAAAATCTGATGCAAGTCAATAAATGACGTTAATTTAATTTATTAATTCGTGACACTTTCACTTTGTGTGGCATCTGACAAACTTCTTTGTCTGTCAAGTGACTTTTAACGTACATACATGTTGCGCCCCGAAGGATGTAACACATCAAAACAATAATAAATTTTGAAAAAATTTTTTTTTTCATTCCCGTCTCGAAAAATGATTTCAATCCAAGATTTTCCACCAAAATTACCTTTCCAAACATTTCGAATTGCTTTCGTTATTCCGTACTTTGTTTTCATCGCATTTTCCTTGGAACCTCCAAAAACAAAATTAAGATACTTTAGCCTGATCGTTATAATCATATATTTACTCGCACTTCCACTCGTATATCGAGGAGAATATGAAGAGATCGAGATATCGCCAATAGCAGCCTTAGCATTTGGTTGGAGTTTTAAGATGATGATTTGGTTAAAAAGATGTTTATACGCCGAGAAAGAAAAACAAATAGGACCGTTTTATTTGACGATGTTCTTCTGGAGGACATTACCAAATGATGACACGAAAGTTAAGAAAAAGGATTCAAAGTTGACGATAAGAGAGATAAATCTGAATATAATTCAACGCGTTGCGTTAGTTTTTCTTAAATGGGGCTTATTCGAAATGTGTTATAGGTGGTTAACGTATAATGTCCCCGACATACCTGAAGAAAGTTATCCGGTTCGAATTTTCAATTGGGTCACTAAAGGGATTCCAGCTCTAAATCAATTTTTATTGCTTTATTACGCTGTTGGTACGTCGGTGATCATCTTATCTCTTTCTTTAGGCTACGATTTTTTTCTCGTTTTAAATGGATTATTGTTAAGATTTCTTATCACCTTAAATAATGACAAGGAAATTCTCTTTCTCGAAAAGCAACAGATAAAATATATTAAAGAATGGTGTATCTCCATGGCATATGATACAAAACACATATTCATGTATCCTTATTTCTCAACATCTCCCCGAGATCTTTGGTCGAATAGATGGCAATTATTCTTAAAGGAAAGTTTTAAAGAATTGGCATATTTACCAGCTCGTAATCTTTTCATTAACAAATCAAAGAGGTTTAGTGAGTTAATTGGAGTTTTAGCAGCGTTCGCAATGAGTGCTTTATTGCACGAATACCTTTTACTGATTTTTTTGAATAAATACTCGGGCGAGCATTTATTTTTCTTTATGTTACATGGAATTATTTTGGTGATCTGGGAAGGTATCACTGGATCGACAAGAGAAACAGATTCTAAAAAAAGTTTATTGAAATCAATTTTGCAACGGAGCGTCATGATGATAATCATTTTATTTACCTTGCCTGGATTTGTTGAACCATTCGCACGCCACCCCCATTGGTTTATCTCATCTGCATTTACAAGCTACAAAAGAGATCCTACTCTCGATTTCCATTATAGTTAATATAAATTTTCATTTTACACAATATAAACGCTATATAAAATAATTTGATGCATCACAAAGACCTCAATTTAATAAAAAGAAAGAATAATATTTCCAAAATGTTTTTATTACACATAATACATAAAAAAGAAATTCGTTTTTTTTTTCCTGGCATTATAATAAGTTCTTTTGAGAGAATTTTGTCTAGATAAACAAATTATTCGGATAGTGAATTCGCTAATCATTAGAGACTACTTGATCAAAATCAATTGGTTCTCAATTCGACTTTCCAGGTTTTCCTTCGGGGAATATGAAGAAGGTACAATTTTAAACCCATTACTTCTTGAATATCATGACAACTTGTCAACTTTGAACACTTCTGAACACGCGTTCGGACAACTACTGTGCCAATGCGCGATTAACGTCTAAACTAGGGTTGATTATTACGTGCCAATGGTGAGAAGGACCTGAACATTCCACAGAAAATAAAAAGTAATTCGACTCAGGTATTAACGTCATGACCTGTTTGAAAGTTATTGTGAAATGTAGTTGTGTTATTTATTTTAAAATCAAACATTTATATAGAAAATACTGGTATGGACAAAAATTTTTATTTTATGAAAATGTTATGAAGCATAGTTTTTTTTTTTTTAAAAAAAAATATATATATATAAAAAAATATATATATAAATATATATCTTACACTTGAATTTTTTTGCAAATAAATGAATAAAAAGGAAATTAACTAAAATGAATAAAACATCAAACTATCCGTGATACATAGAAAAGAGAGTACAATCCAAAGCAAAGTGAATCGAAAGTATAGTGGAGTGGAGTTGTAGATTTGTAAAATAAAGGGGGATTAATATTAATTAAATTTGTGGGATAATAAAAAATGTCAACCCTTAAATTAACATTAAACGTCCTTAGAAAAAAATTTTTTTTTTTTTGGATTTTCCACAAAATCCTCCATCTTTTTTTTTTTTTTTTTTTTTTTTTTTTTGTAATTTATAAATATAAATAGTCACACACAAAAAAAAAAAAAAAAAAAGATAAATCACCAATGTCAATTTTTGTAAAAAAAAAAAAAGTCCAAATATAAACATCCTAAAGATAAGAAAATGTACATTATATTGTTCTAATAATATGCCAATCCGAGTAAATTATAATATCATAATTTTGTTTGTTAAAAAAGAAAGTAAATTCGAAATAATATTTCAAATACTCACAGCATATCATCACACATCAAAAAATATTTTTTGTAACTCATGATGCAACAAATTGTCGATGACCTCCATTTTTTCGCAAGTCCATTCACCCAATCATCTAACGTCAGTCATCCATTTTTTTCCGAACGACTCTAAACACTTCCAACTCCTCAATCGTCTCTTCTAAATCTTGAAATCCATTAGCATGAGCCAATAATTTTTGTCCATGTCTAAAATCAATAAAGACCTCGATCCCATCTCCCAAAAACATGTTAACATCCAAATGATTATTCACTCTTAACATCCAAGGTAATAGTAATTTTCTTTGTTGCCAGAGGTAACCAAATATAAATCCATCACCACCAATTCTCATTTCTTGATTCTCTGCTGACCAACTGATACTTTTATACCCACCAAACACAGCCTCATCTTCATTTTGATTTTTAGTTCTGATTATTGTTATGGTTGGTCCTTGATTGTAACATTGTTCTCGCCATTTTTGTTCAGCCAATTCAGCACCGCTACACCTAAATATTAAATGAAAATCAAATGGAATTTTATCAAATGTCGTATAAGGATTTTTTTCGGGATTATCATCCGTTGTATCGGGATGAAGGATCCAATATGATATCAGTGCTGGTTCTTCTTTCTCTTTTATGATTGTACTATTTAACCTTAAAGGCAGAATGTCATAAATAAATTGAAATTGTGTTTTTGAATGATATTCAATAACCTGATCGTATAATTCTGGTAAAAAAACTTTTGTTAAAGGTCCAACTTTTTTAATAAACTCATCATGTTCCATTTGGAAGAATCTTATTAAAGAAAGTAAATTAATCACGTTTGATTGTAATGTTGATATATTTTCTGATGTCCAAGTTGAAAAATCATCAACAAGTGAAATTCCAGGTGTGTTATTTATCCCCCACATTATCACCGCCGCAAATATATCTATCTCTTCTAACCCAAATATGTCTCGCTCTAATAAACCAATCATATAATCATATGGAAGAAATAAAAATTCCTTGGAGCTTACAAAAGCTTTGGGGTGTCGAAGTATTGCGTTATTGCACAACGTTACTAATTCTTTACACCTTGAAATTTGTAAAGCTACATAAAGGACTTCACTACTTTTCTCGTGGATCCAACATTTTTCGTCTCGTATTAAATCGGCTTCCATATAATCTACAAAAGAATCCATCATTAATACGTCTGCTGCTTTTAATAATTGTAATTTTTCTGAAACCCCTACTTTTTCTAAGTTTAAATATGCACCATATATATAACTAAAATAAATGAATAAATAAATAAATAAGAAATCAAATGTTCAGTTTTTTTTTAAAAAAAAAAAAAAAATAAAAAAATAAATAATAAAGTGAGAATAATAATAAAAAAAAAAAATCTCAATTCACTTAAATTATCACTCTTCGAGAAGAAAGAACAAAAGAATGAAAAGAGAATACGGCAAGAGAATAATAACAAAAATCGAATGAATTAAAAATCCCATACATACAAGAGCACATGACCAAAGATAGCCTGCGGTATGTCCATACCGCGCAAATCAATAACATAATAGCCATCCTCTTTCTTTTTACTCCATACAGCAGATAATGCGGCTCTAAAATACTCTGACCGATTTTTTAAAATGATTGAATGAGCCTTAAATGTTTCACTGCTAGAATTATTACCAACATAAATAATGACATCAAAAGTTTCTTCTTGATCTAATATTTTTAAAAAATCGCAGGATAGTTGTTTAAATGATTTCACTGTATCGTATATTTCTGGCATGGTTATACCGTTTGTATATAATTTTGTTTAAACCTTTTATTTTTTAATTTCTGAAAAGGGATGAAAATGGTGGTAAAGAAGGTTAATTTTTTTTTTTAAAAAAAAAAAATAAAAAAAAAAGGAAGGTAAATAAATAATAAAATAGAGGTGAAGTAACGAAATTTCCGGGAAAAATGAAACTTATTTATATGTCAACTTTTGTGTTCATGCAGGGTGATACATTATTAGCCACATGTTAGCGATGTCAGTTTGTCAGTTTCGCATTATTCCTTTTTCAACTAATACGAAATTCGGAAAACAAAAAAAAAAATTTAAAAATGAAAGGATTTTTGAAGTTTTTAATCTAGCAATTAATAAAAAATAAAAGTGAATGAAAAAAAAATACAAACCGGGTAGAAGGAAAAGGGTTAGCTAATTTTTCTATTATATGGAAAGATTCGACAGTAGTAACACAATATTACATAAAACTCATTATTTTGCCCAAACTACATTTCTTGTACCATCTCATGTGACTTGCACGATAAGAAAATACTAATCTATTTAGGGAATCCAATTATTAGGGAAATTTTAAAGATTATTCCGAGGATCGAAGTAACAAACTGCGATTCTAAAGATTTGGGGATTGAATGCATGCCTTTATTACATGTCGGAAAATTATAAATGTCAATACAGTCAACCTTCTCTACAGTCATAAAATACCCCTTTATAATCACATTAATTATAATCACCATCACATCAATTATCAGGCCGATATATTAATAAATAATATAGTAATTTGCCTTTATATAGTCACATCATCGCGTGACAAATCGGTCAATAACATTCAATTATTATAATAAATCACGTAAAATTACTTTATTTAAGATAAACTTTATTAAATGTTCATATAAAACTAAAGATGGTCAATGGTCCTGACTAATCTTGTATCTAAAAAAAAAAGAGGAATATTAGAAATTTAGAAATGTTAAAGGAACGAAAGAAGAAATGAAAAAAAAAAAAAAAAGAAATAACCGCCTAGAATCCAGAACTGAAAGAGATCTAAAAATAAAAAATTTTTGTATAAGCACACCTCTATACATCACACCATTAGGCTGGTCCCGAAGGGTGTGATTGTAGAGAGGGTACCATCTTTCCTTTTGAGTAACTTTTGTGATACAGGCATGCGCCACGTCATCTTATCTTCAATCTCCACCAATGATTTTTGTTATCGATATAACTTAACCTCAGGCTTAATGTTTATTATGAGATCCTAAAAAAAATATAAAATTACACAGATTTACTGATTTTCCGCTGACGTATGATAATAAATATATAAAAATAATTGTTTGTTTGTAAAAATTTACGCCAACGTTCTTTTCTTACCCAACAATTATTTCTCTCTCTCCCTCTCTTTTTTTTTTTTTTTATATATATATACAGTATATATATATTATCAGGTAAATAATCAATTTTAAATCCAATTTTGGAAATTTGTAATTAAAATTTCAATAATTTTATTTAATTTTCTAGCTATAATAATGACATGTTTACCGGTTGAATGTATTAGAGAAATTTTAGAGTATCTTTATGATGATACAATTTCTCTGCATTCCTGTCTTTTGGTGAATCGAAGCTGGTGTGAAATCACTATTCCAATACTTTGGAGAAATCCATTTGGAAGGGATTTGACGGCCAAACGTTATATACTGCTGATAAATACTTATATGTCTCGCCTCTCAATGGAAGAACGAGGTTCCATTGATTCAACAATTGAAAAATCAACTTTCGATTATTCCACGTTCTTACGAGTTTTCGATTGTGAAAAAATCTTATTGGCATTTCGTTGTTGGGCAATTCCTTTTTCCTCCTTTAGTTTGTTCAAGCCTTTAATTCAGCATTTCATTTATAATTCTCCAAAATTTGATCGAGTGGATTTTAAAAAGAATATGCTGTTTAATGATAATATTTTCTTATTTCCTGGGGCAAGACAAAGTTTTGCAAAACTACGTAGCTGTAATTTCTTTGGAGAATATACAAAAGGCCTAATTGATTCTTGCGCAGGAATGGCGAATGATATTCGTTATATAACTTTTCGTTGTCTCGAACCTCAACATTCTAACGGTGATGATTTGGTAACATCGGACTCTTCGATGGATGGATTGGCTCACTTGATAAGGTCTCAAAAGCATTTAAAGAAAATTATCTTATCAGACGGAAGATTAAACACGATATTCAAGAATGAAGTTTTTGATTCTTTAACGACTCAATCAAATACTTTAACCGTGATCAAATTCTTGTCGATTAATTTTCATGAGAGATTTCCTTTGGATCAATTATTAACTTGTAAAAATTTAAAAGTTTTAAAAATTGTTAATTGTAGGAATTATGGGAATGAAGTTATAATCACGGGAAAGACACATCAATTTCGTCAATTAAAGGCCATTACTTTTAGTTCAAGCAGACTTCCTTTTGAACTTTACAGAAAATTAATCTCTTTGGCAGGCGATTCTTTACAAACGGTTATTTTGATGGGAAAGGTGTTTATGGATACGCCTCCTTTACCAAATCCTTTTACAAATAATAATAACACATCAGCAAGGTTTAACTCCATCTCAACTTCATCCTCTTCTTTCATCCTGGAGCCATTCGTTGAATTCTGCCCGAATATAAAGCAGATTTTGGCATGTGTAAATGAAAGTCAATTAGCTTATTTACCATCCTTATTGCGTTCATGTAGAAACTTGAAACGGTTAAGTTTATATGATTCAAAATATCAATCACGATCTTTTCACACATCAGTGAAGGATATGCAATCTATCAATGTTGAAGATTTATTAGCGAGGGTTGGACAATCGATACCTTCATCATTAATTAAATTCAATATTAATATGAATTGGAACTTTAGCGCTGAAGTTTTTGGATTATTTTTACAAAATATTAATAAGACCTTGAGTTCGACAGTACCTTTATCAGATGGTACGAGGAAAGGTATGATGGTGACGAGATCGATTCAATTGCAAAGGTTATCGTTACAATTTTGTACTTGTATAACTGATGAACATTTAGAAATGTTTTATAAGTATCCCGTTAAAAGTTTAAACACATTGAAGATTAGGGGTGCCGAAGGCGTCAGTGAAGATGGGTTTAGGAAATTTGCAGATTTCTTTGGAGATTGTGTTAGTGTGCCTCAGAAATTCAGGAAGTAACGTAATTGAATAGAGATTAATGATTGATGTATTTATGGCTGAGAAATTAAGGAGAGATGGTTTTATAAGGAACCTACTATAGCGGTCGAAGTTTATGGAATCTTGACCTCTACTCAAGAAAAGTTTAACATTAAATGCCGATAGTATATAGGGAATTAGTTTTTTTTTTTTTAAAAAAAAAAAAAGGGCGAGAAAAAAATATGGAGGTTCCTAATATTTTTATTGATGGACGTTAATGATAACCGTTCTCATTATAAATATCTATAATAAATTATTTTGTACATAAATGTAAATCTGATATACAATTCATTATATAAATCAAAATAGTCAGAATAATAAAAATTCAGCATTCGAACGATTGATTTTTTTTTCTTCATTTTGATTGGTTCCTTTTCATTAAAAACAGTATATATATAAAAATTTAATAGGCCATTGATAAATCCTTTTTTGTATCTTAAAGATCTTTGCAAAAATCAAAAATTTTAATTCCTTCACACGTGAAATTCGCCAAGATTTCTTTTTTTTCCACTGTCTTTTTTTTTATGAAAAACTTATTTGCAACGCCAAATATGATCTTTAAATAAAATCTAATGGCTACATTAAGTGAGCAATCCATAGGAATTACTTAAGGTCGTGTTGGTAATTTCATGAAGACTTGTTTTGATTTTACTTTTTTTATACTTTTGAAATTTTGTTATATCTTATACCTTATTCCTAATTTTCCATCTTTTGAATGTTAATTGCGTAACATTAATTCTAATTCTTTAAAAAACTTATAATTTCTGATGGAATATAAATTCGTGCTATATAACTACTAAGGAGGTTATGAAATAAGTGTGCATCCTACGCTTCATGGGTAAAATAATTGTAAATATTTCCTCCCGATTCGAAAAATATCTGAAATTTATTATACTGTGTAGATATATATATATACTGTATATATTTATATATTTATGAAAATTCTAAAAATTACATATGCCATGAAAAGGGAAGAATCGAATTAGAAGTCGTTGCTAAGTTAGATATTTGTCGAGTCACGTGATTGTTCTTCCCGTTTCCGATGCCCTGGAAGTTTACATGGTAAATAAAATGCACGAATCAACGAATCGAACTTTCTCGACGATGATGACGCAATTATTGTATTCACATTTGATATAGTGTCATGATAGACATTTGTCGCGTCTATATATTGGCCGCGTCAATAATAATTTGTTCAGGTTAGAAAAATTTTTTTTTTTTGTTTGGATTTAAAATTGAAATTCAAAAATATTTGAAGGTTCATTCGAAATAGTAGATCGGCACCAAATATTAATGTTTAATTGGTATATTGTTACTTTTAATTAATTAATATTTTATTTTATTGTTCATATTAATATTTTAATACTTATTATTTTCGACAGGAAAAAAAAAAAAAATAGGGTCAATTTATCTATTAGAGATAAGTTTTTTAAGCGACTTTAAAAAAATAACGCCTGTAACGAAAAATCACATGACACATTCGATCGCTTCACAACTACAAAAATAATATATTCTAATATATGTTGAAAAAGACCCATAGGCTACTTAATTGGATAAGCATTTTGAAACCTAACAATCTAACGGCATGGCGTTTATCCTTCTGAGGACTATTAAACGTCCTTATTGTATTGAAAGGCCTCTTTCTTTTCTTCCTTTGCGAAGACAGACTCTTTTTTAGTTATAGAAATGCCAAAATACTTATTCGGTTTTACTGACCTTTTTCACACACTTTTTTTAATGAAAGTGTTCTCAATTGCAAGCAATTATTGCGAGAGGGTTCCGCAGAATTTCTAGAGTTAAAATTTCTAGATTTTCTGGTTGGATCACTTCCAACATTGACTCTATACGGTATTTTCATGTTCGTTAAAATAAGGATTTTAATCCCTGCCAGAATTTTAATTTTAAAAACATATAGCAGCTAAATTTTGGTTGATACTTCTACGTAACAAGGTTACATATTGTTTTATACCTCGATTTATTTAATCCAATAAAATTAACTTTTAACGTTCCTGCGAACTTAAAAGTTTAGATAATTTGCGTTTATTATTCATCGGATTTCTTGAATTTAACAATTTGTGTGAATTACAGTTCATTCCGATGTTGAAAGCTTTATTCTTAACAAAATCCGTATAAAAAATTATTAAATTATTATTGTATATTTAAATTATGATATATCCATTACAAAATATATGAACCGAACTTTTCGTTAAAAAAAACATACATTGATTAATTTATTAAGTGTCTTAAATGAGGCAGATCTTTTTTTTAACAATTTAGATAGAGTAGTAATTCAACTGATGATTAGTTATCAATTATAATATTATAAAGAAACAGATTATTCTTTGGATTATATAATAAAGAATGAATTTGTTTAAAATTCACAATAATAATAACTTTAAAACGAAATATTTGCCAAATCTAAAATATGAAACCGCGCAATGCCAATTCTGGCTAAATAATTGACATCAATAAGATTGGAAATTTTACCTAACTAACTGTTACAGTCATGTCCCGGATTTCTAATCCAAAACTTTTCCTTGCAAATGAACATCTTATACCAAAAACAAATTCTTAAATATAACGTGCAATGTAAGGGTAATCATCTCAAATGCAAAGAATATAATAACTAAAAATTAATAAAAAAAAAAACAGAAATAATCATTTATTTACGTGTATAATTCATTTTTTTTTTCAAATTTCAAGTAATTTTATATGAAAATGACTATTAAATTACTCGAATTTACAAATACGTTTGAATTCATTAATAATGTAGAATTTTTATTAAAAGACAGATTTCAAATTCAAATTCTATTCGAAACATAACGAAACGACAAATTACATTCTGATACAACGGATATTTTGTTAATCTTCATTCATATCTAAATTTGATATTAACTTATTGCTTCCCCAGATGATAAGTTGCACATTGAATTCAATAATCATGAATTCCTGCAAGTATATACCTGCAAAGCTACCCCACAATGTTTTCATTAATTCAAAAATATCTCAGGTTCTAAAACAATGGAGTCAATATGATAAGCACACTATCAAATTTCTCAATCAGAGTTGCTACTAAAATGGAATTGTGCCGAAAATTGGGGATCTTTTATTTCCATGTGAAAAAGATGAAGATAATCAATACGGATTAACTTCTGTTAATGAATTTATAATTATTTCTTCTAAAGTAATTTTGAACAGTTCTCGTAATAAAATTTGAAAGTCCGATAATTAAAAGTAATCAAAGATTATCTTGGGTAAAAGTTCCTCCAGAAGATTTAAATTTGAAAAATTTTGCTTTTTAATAACTTTCTCCGATAAAGTCATCTGTCAATCTGTCAATCTTGCCGCTAAAATTTGCTCTGCAATCGTATAATTTCTTTCTATTTTCTCACATCACTATGCCTTGGGTTATTAATTAAGAATTTCAATCTTCGTTTTGATGATGATTTAACAATATTATGTTTTGTCACAGGAATTCAAAATGCAAAACAATTAATCATTTAAGGAAATGGTGCAACATAAACTTTATTTATAATGCCAAAATTGGTGTTTCAATAGTTGAAATAATCGTTTTATAATTATTAACGGTTTAATGATAAAATGTCAAAGTCCTTAAATGATAAGAAATTTTTTAAAGTTGCTCATCTAATTAAAGGAATTACTTTGGAGGAAGGAATTTTTAACGCAGTGGACTTAATTCTTCCTCTGGTAAATAACCAACTTTATAAAGTATTTTCTTTTTAATTTTCATTGAAATGCTATTAGGACATTTTGCTAAGACTGGAAATTTTATGTGAAAAAAAAGTAAATTTAATTTAATTTTTTTTTTTTTTTTTTAAATGTATAGGATAAAATAAATAATTATTTTTTTCAAGACTTACGGATTATACTGCGGTTTTTGAATTGATTTTCGAAATATTATTGGGGAATTATTTTTTTTATTTGCTCTGTTAATCATCTACCATATTTATTTCCGGATCGAGTAAAAAATCAAAGGGCCGGCTTAATTTTACCAAAATGGTAAAGGATCCTTAAAATGATTTGTTTACTTTAAAATTCTTTGACAATAAGGTCCCTGAATTCCCTGAATTTCTTTATACCGTTAACACATGAAAGATGATTTGTATAATCTGGAATGGTAATCTTTTAAAAAAAGATGAAACACGTTTCACAATTTCGTTTTTTTCGCGCTCAAACAAAGGGAACAGACCAGACAAGGTATTTAATTGCAAACAGGTTTTATTATGCGGAATATTAAACGTGTCGATAATATCAATGCGTTTAATATATTAAGGTACGCCAAACTCGTTTTGTTCTACTGAATAACTTTTCATTATTTAATTTTCGTAATACATTTCGAAAAATTTGTTTCGATCACCAACAAAATTAAACGTAAACCAATTCTCTTTCGTTGTAGATCTTTTATTATTATATCTCCAAATTTTTAACAGACATGGGATTTCAAGGAGATAATGACGATATCTTTTTGCCCAAAAGGATCGCTTCTCATATCATTGGTTATTTGCACATGTGGGATGAAATGCTTAATGGTAGGATTTTTCATATGATGCGCAGAATGAAAAAATGACAGCTTCACAAAATCCGCACTCACACAGATTTCCATTGAAAAAAAAAAATATTTTTAATTTAATAAAATTTTTATAATATAAATTAATTTTTAGATATAAATATATGATATGGTTGTTTATTTCGAGTTTTTTTTTTTTTTCACGTTCATTAAATTATTTTAATTGCCTTTTCAGAAATAGTGAAAAAATGAAAAAATTTTCTGATATTATGAATTCAATCCTGGCCGTGTTTTGTTGTGCCTTCATCTTGGGTAAAGCATCAAATTATCATTGAATTTAATTCGTCCGTCCCTTTACTAATTAATTATTACCGTTTTACATTTATAGCATTCAAGATTCCACTAGTATTTCTCGCATGTTTCGTATCTCTTTTCATTATAAAAGACCACAAATCACCAACTTTATTTCAACGGTTAGTTGCCGTCATCATAAGGACCATCACAACTTATCTTCCAACTTGGCTATTAAGGATCGTGGTTAATTCCGCTGCAACTTTTGAACAGGTTGTTTATGGTCTCTATCAGGAAAAACAACAAAAACGTTGGGTAAAGAAATTGGAAACGACGAACGGACAAGATGGATGGGAGGGTTACCTAATCGCCGATGATGTTGAAAATTCTGAAATTGGAAAAGACGCTGATTTGGTTATCTTATACGCTCATGGTGAGTAAGGTGATCAAGGGAAAAAAGTTCTTGATGCAGGATTTTCTGCGCCATTTTGTATGTAGTACTGACGATTATTCCTTTTAATAAAAATAGGCGGGGGCTATGTTTGCGGTGGCGCTTTGACAACTTTGGTTACATTTGTCGACTGGATTAAGGGGTGGAAGATAAGTCATGGTGTCAATACGCACATCTTGTCTCTAGAATACGGTAAGCTAATTATATCTTTTTTATGTTATAAAGTATTTATAATTGGGATTTATCAAATCAAACTTGTTTATCAGGATTATCGCCCGAGAATTCGATCCCGGTTGCCAGGGAAAGTATGTTGTCATGCTATCAATGGCTTGTCGACGTGAAAGGAATTAGTCCATCTAAAATCATTTTTGGTATGTCCAACCTTTTTTTTTTTTTTTTATTTGTTATTATTATTAATTTTGATTTTTAAATAAATTATTTATTTCTTAGCTGGTGATAGTGCGGGTGGAAATTTGGCTCTAGTAAGTGTCTTACAACTTATTAACCAATCATACAGTTATTCGATTGAAAAACCGCCTTCCGCTCTTCTCCTTATATCTCCGTTCTTATCCGTAAGTTATAATATGTCTATCTATTTATCCCCTCATCTTTCTTGCTTTTATTAAAAATCTTTCATTCTCTCTGATTAATGTCTTAGGCCGTAACAAATACGAAATCATACCGTAACAATGCTTCTTACGATACAATAGATACGACCTGGTTACATAGTTGCGTAGATGCATATTTAGGTGACTCAAATCTACTTCCAACTTGTCCAATGATTTCACCTCTATTTGAAAATCAACTTTCAGAATTGCCCAGAGTGTGGGCTTGCGTTGGTGGTTATGAAGTCTTCTTAGACGATATTACATTATTTGTAGAAAAATTAATGGTGAAAGAAGTGAAGGTTGAATACGTTATAGAGGATACCAATTTCCATGATTATGCAATGTCCAAATTATTAAGTAGAGATCGCGCTTATGAGAATACCATCAAGAGTATGGGCAAATTCTTGTTTGGTGAAAGTAATATCAAGAAATCGATATCCAAAGAATAATTTTTATATAATCTTTAGAAAACAAAAAATTAATGATAGGTTTTATTTGATTTCTTTTAATCACCAAAAGTACTTTTATTTATTATATACTAGTTTATTAGTTATTATATACACATTAGATTATCAAAAAAAGAATATATACATATACAATTATATATACATTATCATAAAATATTATAAAATTCATTTGATTATTATTTATTATAAGCATAAGCCACAATTTATACCCAAATTGTGTTCATAAATATTGTTTGCCAACATGAATACGATCAAGTATTAAAGATTTTTAGACTAACATTGATACAATAAAATGGGTAGTTAATTATTATTTCATAAAAGAAAATTTTTTTAGTAAGAAGCACATCGCGGGGAACGTAAGACGGAAATCGTTTTTCGATGATTAAAACGTAATCATTTAAAAATGGAACAACAAGATAAAGGAGATCAATAAAAATAATAAAATGTCCAAATCATAGATTGCTCCCGTAATCTGAATATTTCGTATAAACACGTTCGAAACTGGGTTAAATGAGATTTCATTTTTTAAAGATGGCTTATACAATTTTAATAATAACGGGAATGATGAATTAGTAAATTGGAAACAAGTACTTTACGTGTTGTCGGCGCATATATACCCTTGATTTGCTGTTAAGAATTCTCGTTCTACATACGCTTTATAAATTTCGAAAGATTTTTTTTTAATCATGAGTTTTATAAGAAATGTTGCGAAAAAGGTGAGCAAATAAAGATGATATCGAAAGGTTGCAACTTAAGTTGTAAATCACTTTTATATTAATTCCAGCTTTTTTACTTTTTAATAGTGGAAAAGAATTTCCGAATCAAAATCAACGGTTTCTTTCGTGCTTGTCTCCATAATTCAAGCTCTAGTTTTAATTTACCTTCAGTTTCGTATATTTGAACGAAATTCTGAAAGTATTAATATCATAATGGAATTAAATAAAACGAACCAATTAACTGAATCTTGTTATAATGGTCCACTCCTTTCATTTTTTACGATAATTCTGGAAAATGTGATGTTCATTTTGTTTTATTTTTTTCAGATTTACTTTTGTTTCAATGCGGTAATGTCCGGGAAACCTTTTTTTTTTTTTTTGTCTTTAACAATATTCGGTTCCATTATATGAAATAAGATAACTATTTTCTTAAATTAGATCTTCCATCAGGATACGATGCAAATTATGACCATCACATCGATGAATTTTGTATTCGTTTTAATTGGAATTGTAAAAATATTATTATTATTTTTTTTTTTTTATTACAAGTGTACGAATGATCAATTAAAAAAATCAGAGCTATTCTTAATACTCTCGCGTGAAAATTTCTTTATAGATGCAAGCGATTGAAGTTAAAAATGTAGATAGCAAACTTGGAGAACTCTGTCCCGAACTTCAATTTGATCCGAAAATTATGACATATGAAATATCATTCATTGTAGTTGTGTCATTATTAGGAATTCTCATGGGATATTTATCATTTAATTTATATCGTCGATTCGGTTGGAAAATTTATAAAAAGTATGGATTTGACAGATCAATGCAAAGTAAGTTCCTTTTTTAAAATCGCTTAAACTCGATGTAATAATTTTATTCATTTATTCATTTATTTTTTGTAGAATTATATAGAACTCGACTTATATTTGTAATGCTATTAAAATTGGATTTGCTTCTCATGATATTAATTTCAGGATTAGTTTTACCAACGTTTTATATAATGTATAAATCTAAAAACTTGGGTCAAAAATTCCTGATATTCGCTAGTTCTGCTATTTTGATCTTGGTATTTTTCTTTGAAGCATTAGCATATAGATCGGTGAGTGATTTCGTAATTAATGATCTTTTCTTTCCTTTTTTTTTTTTAAAAAAAAAAAAAAAAAAAAAAAAATGATCATGATTTTTTGTTAGATCAAAAAGGAATGGAAAGCCGGGATGACTTCGTTTATAATTTTTTGGATATTTGCCATGTTAAATTTCGCTGGTTTGTATTATGGGGTAATAAATGCGTCAGTGACGACTTATTGGTATATCGGATTCGTTGTTGGTATGTAATAACTTTTTCTTTTTCTTTTTTTTTTTAAAAAAAATATAAATTAATCATTTGGTTTGATTTAGGAATTATTTGTTGTTCGTTTGCATTGGTAAGTTATTACTATTATTTTTTTTTTCCGGTAATCTTTATGAAATTTTTTTTTTTTTTTTTTTGTTTAGGGTACATTCATATTTGCTGTATATGTTCGCAAAGGTTTTGGACGCGGGTTAAAAGAATATCGTGAGTATGCTAAATTTTTTTAACCGACACCAAATTCTTTCAAAGTAAAACTTACCACATTTTATAAACCCATAGTTGATAAAGAAAGGAATGAGAAAACACCGAAAGCTTCCGGTTCAAAATATCAAAACATTTGACGAAGGTGCAAAGGAAACGTTTTATCGATTGAAAGAAGGTTATCGTAATTTTTTTTTTTTTAAAAAAATTTTATCATTTTTATTTTTTCACTTCCTCTCATATATTGAATGTTGTTTGATGTTTTACCTTCTTACTTATGAAATTTAAAAGATTCTCTTTATTACTTTGTTCCCATAACATTATTTAAAAATACAAAAAAAAAGATTATCATAACATATAAATTTATACATATAAACCCAAATTATATCAATCATTAATTTCTTCGACTACCAACTTCCATATCACGTTTATCATTGCTATTATCAAATGCTTCTTCCTCATGAAATCCAATCTTATCGACTATCCAAAAAAAAAACAAAATATATATATTAAAGTAAAATTTTACATGATTATAAAAAAAAGGGGGGGAATGCAACTTACGGTGTTCCTTTAATCCTTTTCCAAAATTTCTCATAACCACTATTCCAATTACAAAGGTTAACTATAAAAAAATATATATATACATGATAAAAAATTAGAAGATTAAATATAAAAAGCATTGAGCTTCGTGATCAAGTTTTTCACTTACCACGCCCATAAGTAAACAGGTAACGCCTTAAAACGAGTAATCAGTTTAGTTGATGAATTTGAGAATGATGTCATTCAAGGAATAAGGCTTTTTAATTAACTTACCAAAGATCGAACCAATATACCATTTATAAATGGACACCAAAGAAATTCCGATATAACAAAACCAAACATAAGTGATCATAACAAGAATCCAAAATGATAAAAAGGCAATCATTCCGGCTTTATGTTCTTTGGCAATCTATTTCAACAAGGAGATAAAAGTTAGCTAGCGTCAAAATGAATTAAGAATAACATCAGTAATTTGCTTACCGATTTAAAGGCCACAGATTCAAATAAAAATACTAGAGCAAAAAAAGTAATACCCATATAAACTATCCCTTTATAAGAGGCACCAGAACTAGTAAATTCAACCATATAATAAGGTATAATTAAGATACTGAATAACAACATCATCAATAAGTCAAGTTTTAATAACATTACAAAAATTAAACGAGCTTTATAAATTGCTAAAGATCAGGAAAAAGGTCTAATTAGTGATTGATTGATGGTGATTTTATCAAAGATTATCCCCGAGACGTAAATAGGATAACTTACATTGCAATTTAACATCCGTACCAATTCTTTGGTAAATGTTCCAACCAAATTGTTTATATAACTTGAATGATAGATATCCCGTGATACATGCTAAAATCGTAATTAGTATAATGTGTGGTACTTCATGTACCATAAATTCGGGATCCATAACTATCGTGGGGCATTCATTTAAAACTCGGTTGCTTGTTTCTTGGGCTTCAAGCAATTGGACCTTAAATGAGAGAGAGAGGTTTATACTTGTTGATTAGCGTTTCGTATAACGTGAAATAATTTACTGCGGTATAAAAATTGTGCTTACGACTCCAAGAACTGCGTAGCAAAAATTGGATATTGCAATCGTGAAAATTTGCATCGTATTTTGGTGTAATATCTAAAAAAAAACAAATAAAGTCATTAAAAAACCATCAAAAATGAAATAAAATAGAAAAAAAGCAAGGTACATTACCGCATTATAAGAAAAATACAATTGAAATACATAAAAGCAAATAAACATAATATTTTCAAATGCAAGTAAAACAAATGCTTTGAAGGAACCCGGATTTAAGCAAACTTCGGCTTCTGTATATTCATCTGGTCCTGGATGAAGATTGAACCACCCATCAATATTACGAGCGAAAATTTTTGCTTGCAAAATTACTAATGCAATTGTCTGGACTGTTGATATTAAGGCAAATAATGTTGTGGACTTTGATTCGGTTAATCTATCCCACTAAATAAAAATAGGGGAAGATTAGATAAGTGAAAAAAAAAAACGTAAAAATTTTTCAAGTTGTTTAAAATTATTTTGAGCACCTTTTTCGTAAAATTGCATTTACCCATATCTAGGTAATTTTATCTATGATTAATACGTTAATTATGAATCTAATAAATTAAACAGATTTGTTTTTCATAAAATTTTTTTTTTAAAACAAATTTTTCTACTTCAAAAGAGAGAGCTTTTAAAAGTAAAAATGGAACAATTGTTAGTCCATAATATATTGAAATAGATTAGATTAAATGCAATGTGTGCAGTCGATCGTCAATTTTTAGAAACTTAATTACTCAAATTTCTTGGCGGTTTATAAATTAACCGGTTCAATGATTCGATAACATTAATTCCGATTTAAATCGGTATTGCACTAGGTTCTCACTTCAAGTTCTTGAGACAAATATGGAAATGTTTAATTTTACACTTGTACGACCTTACCCTTTTTTATCTATGATTGAAACAATAACAATCATTCAAATAATGGACAAAAAAAAAAAAAAATTATATTAATGTATAATCCTCGTTTACTAGTGATGAGTTGGATTTTTGCCAGTTGCCAATAATTGCTTAGTATTGCTCATTGTAATATCGTTATCAATGAAAATCATATGACTTCTCCTCCATGTATTTGTCTGCACACAAGGCAACTAGAAACTTGGAATCTCGTCGGATACCTTACGTCGTTGGCTAAAGCAAGGAAGAATTACTGCTAAAACGTCTCCTTTTGGTACTCGCCTTTACGACAAATCTTCCATTTTTCCAGAGTTGACTTCCCAAGATGTCGATTACACCACCGCCGCCACCACCACCACCAAAAAAGGGTTCCTCTATGCAGCAATTCTATAGCTGAACATTTTTGGAATATTGGAGAACGCAAAGCAAAAAATATAGAGGACTAGCAATGGAATTCGCCGAATCAAATCTCTTAAATATGCCATCAGAAAAAGATTTGTTAATTAAACCTGGGTGGACTCGCTTTGAAAGTAATAATCAGTAGAATTTTCACGTGAAAATGTGTTGTGTTTTGATTTCGATACGTTATTAAGTAATAGCAATTATGGTCTTATTGCATGTGCTGCATCCTCAAGTGCTTGGTATACCTAGATATCGCCACATTTAATTGAATTTAAAGAAAAGAGATTAGGAGAACTTTCTAAGAAAAATGGTGAGTGTAATAAAAAATAAGAAGAAACCCTAAAGTGAATTTTATGGAATGATGAGACAAGATCGAAAAAGACAAAGCTACTAAGAAATTTTGAAATAAATGACATTTCAGATCAGAATAATCAAAATTCAGCAAATGATGAAATTATTATTGGGAAAAAAAATAAAAAAAACCTACTGCTAGAAAAAAGAAAGGGAATAAGGGTCTTTAGAGTATAGAAAATGAGAATGAAGTAGATAACTTAAACCTTATTAGATATCACGAAATTGGTAATTTAATACTCATGGAAAAAGACAAGATAATAATCGATCATAATGTTTCATTTGATCATGTAAGGATCCAAGAGGAATACCATTATAAAGCATTTGGTAATAAATTTATAGATACGATGGCATTGCATATTGCTATTAATGGATTATGCGGACAACAGCGTCTCACTTGGGTTTATAGTATATACTAATTCAGTAAATGCTTTGAGTTTATGATGATCAATAAGAAGAGCCAGTATGTATAAAATATGGTAGCTACACTTGCTAGAGTCTGATGATGTAGCGATTACCAATTCTTTAAGAATATCTTCCCAGCTACAATCAAGAATTTGATATAAAGCTCTTATGAAAGAGCAACAAATTCGGATGAATATGTTATCAGACTTAACTCCATTTGCTTTCATATTATCATGAGTAGTATCGATATCAATCACAGCTCTTAAAGGTTTTTAACCATTAATACATTCATGAATCTCGAGCAAACCATATACCGTATTTTTCTGAAAATAAGCAATCTATTTTTACTATAGTGTTGCTTATTTTCGGGTAGTTTAATTTTAAAAAATTTTCTGACTTAATTTTTGTAATACTCTCATGATCGCTGATCATTTATATGTTATGCGAATATACTTACGCAAAGTCGCAGAGTCTTTAAAACCAGTTTTCAAACCTGTATGCTAAGTGTAACAAATATAGCAAAAAGAAGAAAAGTTCGTAAAGTAAAAAAAATTGTCAAACGGAAACGCACCTCATACTCTATAAAACAAAAGATACAAGTTGTTAAGTATGCAAAAGAACGAGGAAATAATAATGCAGCAAAACATTTTAATATCGATCTTAGTATGGTAGGACAGGACCGGGAAATCTCTATTATAAGTCCCCGTCACAGAAGGCACCTGACCTTATTTCCGCGAATCAGGTTTTTTTATAATTAAGCGAATCAGATTTACGAACACTTTAAAAAATTAATAATAATGCGAATCATTGTT